ATGGTGGCGCATGCCTGTAGTCACAGCTACTTGGGAGGCTGAAGCAGGAGGATCGCTTGAGCCCAGGAGTTTGAGGTTGCTGTGAGCTAAGATGATGCCACAGCACTCTAGCCCGGACAACACAGTGAGACTCTGTCTCAAAAAAAAAAAGGGGTCAGAGGTTTTTAATAAGGTTGAGCCAGGGCTGGAGCCAGCGGCAGCAGCATCACCTGGACACAAATGAACATTCGAGACACCCACCCCAACCTGCTGACGGAGCCACTCTGGGGGTGGCCGGACGATCCATGGTCAACAAGGCCCCCAGGTATGTCAGACATGGGACCCGGCGTGAGAATCCCTGGTCTGAAGACCACTGCTGGCGCCCTCCCAGGCCTCCCTCAGCACCCAGCTGCCCACGGGCCAGAGTCAGAAACCATAGAGACTGAAAGAAACCGCCCTCCCAGGCCTTCCAACCCAATCTGCCAAACTGTTTTCTAGAAGTCTGCCCCGCTCCTCCCCTCTCCCCAGGTGACAGGCAGGCAACAGTGCCTGGCTGTGCTGCAGATTAGACCTCCCTGTCCGTTTTCCTTCCCTGTCCTAACTGAGAGGACAACAGGATCTGAATGAACTTCAGAGCTCCCTGCCGCGGAATCTGACTTCCGGAGGATCGTGGGCAGGTCTGCAGCAGTGGGGATGCGAGCCTCGCCCCAGCCTCGCTCACCAGGTAGACATCACAGAGGTTGCGCAGCCAGAAGCGGTGCAGGGCGTGGGTGACGAGCGAGAGCTCCCGGGCGAGGAAGCCCCGCTCGCACTCCCGGGCAGCGAGGGCAAGGCGGCTCAGGATCCAGGCGTCCATGGGGGAGGAGGGAGACAGCTGCGGGCAGAGGGGGCCTGAGGACTGGGGTGGCTTGTCCCCCACTGCCCTGCCTCCTTTCCTTCCAGATGCCACCTTCCGCCCTCGGACACCTGCCTCCCCTCACCCCACCACCTCTGTTCGCTCTCTTACCTCCTCTGCCGGCTGCGGCACGAACTGCTCCCCTAGGACATTGAGGATAAAGCGCAGGGCGTTCCAGATCTTGTTGCAGAAATGTCGGCAGCTCTGGACCTCAGAGACAGACAGGCGCAAGTCGCCCCCTGGAGGGAGAGGATTGAAGCAGTCTGCACCTGGGCGGCGACAGCAGTTAGTCCTGACCCTGCACGGGTGCCCACCACCCTCGGCTCGCCCCGGAGCCTCTCGCACCGGCTTACCCAGGACTCCGTGGGAGCAGAGTGTGAATCTCAGGGCATCTGTCCCGCACTCGGGGATCCCATGAGGAAAGTCCTTTTTCTGCAACCAGAAGGGGGTGAGGAGCCTGTGAGGCTACAGGGCTGGAGCCTGGGTTGCAGGGGGACCAGTGGCCGAGAGCTAGCACTGCAGCGGCAGATGCTGGCGACTCACCTGTGCGGCGGCTGCAACGGCCAGCTCTGCAGGGTCCAAGTTCCCACGTGACAGCTTTTCCTGCAGCACCTGGGGACGCGGCATCATCACTGGCCGAGGCTGACGGACCCACCTCAGCAGCGGTCACACTGCTGGCCTCACACCTCTCCCAGCCTCCCTTCCTCTCTCCCGCAGCCCCGCCCCAGAGCCGCGCTCCGTCCTCACCTGCAGCCCCACTCCACGGATGATGTCCCGCGGGTCCAGCACATTCCCCAGGGACTTGCTCATCTTCCGGCCCTGCCTGTCCCGAACCATGGGATGAAGAAGCACCTGGGGGCGTGGAGGGGGTCAGCAGAGGGGACTTCGAGAGCCTTCCCTTGGAGGGTCCCTTGGGACCTCTGGCCTGCATACTTTAGGGGGTAGGGTGGGAAGCGAATCAGGAACAAGGCATCGGGAACATGGAAAGTGCCGCATTAGGGGTTGGAAGAAGGGAGGGTGAGGTTTGGGGGAAACTGAGAGCTGTTACCTTGCTGAAGGGGAGCTGCCCTGTGAGCTGGGTCCCCAGCATGACCATGCGGCCCACCCAGAACAGCAGGAGGTCACTGCCTGTCTCCAAAAGTGACAGGGGGTAGAAACGAGCAAGGTCTGGAGTCTAGAGGGGAGAGGAGTGCTAAGAGGCCCGAGCCCCGGCCCCCAGCTCTTCTTCAGCCCCTCTGGGGGCCCAGCCACCTCTTCATCATCCCCAGCTTCACTCTCACCCTCTCAACCAGCCTCACCTCTCGGGGCCAGCCCAGGGCAGAAAAGGGGAACAGGGCCGAAGAGAACCATGTGTCCAGGACATCAGGGTCTGGGAAACAGAAAAGGAAGGGGGACAGTTGGGACCTCAGCTTCTAGGACCTCAGACCTTTGCTGCCCACCCTCTAGGCCAACCCCCAGCCCCAGAGACCAGGGGTCTCACCTTTGGCTCCATCTTCAGCTTTCCCAACCCTACTTTCTCCCCCCAGTGTCTGCTCCCCTCAAAGGCCCAGGCACCCAGCCCAGCCCTCCCCTCCCCGACTCGGGGCTCACCCCTCTCCAGGACCAGCTCCGCCCCTGGTCTCCCTGTCAGTTCTGCTGCGACCTCTCTGGCCTCCGCCTCTGTCCGCCCGACCACCCAACAGTCCTCCCTATCTCCCTGCAGAAGAAGTAAGGGGCGGGGAAGAGTGAAGAAGAACAGCTGACGAGCGTAAAACATCACTTAACATTTACATTCTCTCACGTGGTCTTGGAGTGGCCAGCCCCCTCCAGGAATGCGCCAAAGAAGCCCCGGCCCAGGGAGCCCTGATCATGCAGTGGGCTACACGACTGAGACCATGAAGCACATTGACAGGCAGGAGCTGGGACAGCCCGCTGAGTCCTCTGACTCCTGGCTGAGGCTCTCTCCGCACGCCCAGCCCTCCGGGCAGCTCCCTCCTACCCACCTCCACGTGTTCCTCTACAACCAGGTAGGCTGGGATCTGATGGCCCCACCAAAGCTGCCGCGAGACACACCAGTCCCTGCCAAAAGGACATCATTGACATCTTAGCATGACCAGTGAAACCCCTGCCACGTCCATGAGAGCTCCCCGTACCCTTACCCGATGTGGGCAAACCAGTGCTGCCAGTTCTTCTGGTGGAAAGATGGGCTGAGCTCCAGGGCCCCCGACTCCACAGCCTGGAGGGAACAGGGCCCTAAGACAGTGCTTCCCTTCCGGCACATACGCACCTCCAGGGATGGGACAAGGGGCCTCTAAGGTAGTTTTAAACCTCAGAAAGGACCTCTCAAGCCTCCTGCGAAGATTCTGGGCTTGAGTGAGGGCATGAGCCAGCCCTCTGTGGGCCACCTTGCCTCCGTGCCACACGTCCTCTCCATCACTGCAGCTGGAGAGGTCTTTGGGGCAGGAGGTCCTCCACGATGCCGTTTCTTCCGTCCTGTTCCCAAGGAGCTCCCCTCAGCCCCAGCCTTCCTCGCACTGCAGCTCACCTCGGCAGCCCGCGCCCCCATCTCCTGGCAGCGGACAGACCACTGGCTCTTCAGCAGGTATTCTACCACGTCCCCGGAACGGCTGAAAGGGACACAGGGTGCGTCAGCTGTTCCGCAGGCCCTGTGACTTCTCCCAGGGACACGGGGTCCTACTCCGTGCCAGGCACTCAGTACTGAGGACACAGCAGTGAATAAAACTGACACAGAGCTTGTTTTCTAGCAGAGGGGTGCGGAGCCCATCCTGTTGTCACTCTCAAGCTCCATTCACTGCCTTTTGGGGGTGGCCTCCAGTGAAGGAGTTACAATGAGGTTACCTGCAGATGGGCAGGACCATGGGGTGGCTCTGGAGGCCCCGGAACAGGCCCCGCTCCCTCAGCGCAGACATTATCTTTTCCCGGGCCACGAATCGGTGAAGGCCCTAGAGAAAAAGTGGCGACAGTAAAGATTCAAGGCTTCTAGAGAAATAAGAAAGTGGGAGAAGAGAGGAAGGGCAGAGGGTGGCCCCAAAGGGTGAGATAACACAGGCTGGGACCACCTGCAGCCAGTCCCCGCACAGGGAGGTCATGGTCCCATCCTCCGCAATGACGTTCAGGGGGCTCAAGCCGTGTCGGGCCCCCATCTCAGCATCGGCAGGACTGTGCGCTGGAGTCACCTTCACTGCCCCTGGGGGAGCACAACTGTGGTGAGCACTGAACCTGACCTTGGCTTTTGCGTTGCCAGATGTAGCATTACTGCCCGCACCTCCCCATCCCACCGTCTCCTCTGTGCCTCCTTCCGCTCCCCACTGCCCGCTCAGACTACCCTATACGAGCACTTGCCTCCCCTCCCCCCAGGACCCCATTTCTTCTCCCTTCCCTGACTCCCCTCACCTGTGCCCACATGTGGCTGAACAGTGGAGTCTGTGATGAGGGGGAGAAGATGCCCGGTCAAGGGGTGACGAAGCTGTCGCCCATGCAGATGCTGAAGGAAGGAGAGGATCAGGGAGAGGCGTGTGTGGGCGGAAAGGTCAGGGCTGGCGCGTGAGAACCCCGGAACGAGAGGGCGGAAACCAAGAGGCGGACAGCTGCAGGAAGGCAGCAAACTTTTTCTAAAGGGGCCAGAGTGTAAACACTTTAGGCTTTTGGGCACAGAGGCAAATTCAGTCTCCACACAACTACTCGGCTCTGCCACCAGCATGTGTAACAGCAGCCACAAGTAATACACAAGCAAATGGGCGTGGCTCACACCCACGTAAGCAACAGGCTGGATTTAGTCCCTGGGCCACAGTTTGTCAACCTCTGAGCTGAAAAAAATGTGTAACATCAAGAAAAGGGAGTAAAATCAGAGCCACAGCAGAGCTGGGATGAGAAAAGTCGCCTTAGGAAAAGGAAGCAGAAGCAGGAGAGAAGGAGCTATCATCTTAAAAGGCAGGGAAGAGAAGGCCGTGGGGGCGGGAGGGCCAGGGCACGGGAGCACACTGCCTATTACTGTGTAGCGGGAGTCGTCAGGATGAACGGCCACGGCCACGTCTCCAGGCAGCGTCTCTGGCCTCGTAGTTCCCACCACGACCTCTGCATCTGAAGACAAACATGCAAGCACTTCTATTAATAGCTGGTCCTAGCCCTCACCACTTACTCCTACAGCTAAAGGCTATAGAACTGGAAAGGGGCAGGGGCAGGGGGCAGTCAAGGTGGAACAGTCCCCGAAGTAACTAAAGGAAATCAGAAGCGTTTATAGGAGCCCAGGGTTGCCCATACGCCAGTGACCAGAGGTGTGAGAGGGTGTCTCGTGCTAAGTAATTCCTCGATAACTTGCACAGGGAAAACGGGGACGGTATTAACAAAACCAGCTGGAGTCCTTGCTGGGGATGCGGAGGACACTGGGGAGTCACAGAACACTGGGGAGTCGCAGAGTCCTAGTCACAAATGCTGTGCCTTCTTCAGGGCTAGCACCAGCCTCTCCTACCAGAAGCTTCCTCTTCCAGTTCATCTATCTTCCCCTTCTCTGAATTCTTTGGAACGCTTACTGAACAAAGCACACTTTAGAACTGATCTCGTGTCTCTTTCCTGGGTTAGCAGACTCCTACAGAAGTACACCCAGCTCCTGAAGGGCAGTGACCACATCCCCACAAAAGCCAGGTAACTGCCGCAACCACGCAGACACTGCCATGGTTCACAGGGGACACAGACCGATGGCTTCCTAGCAGCCCAACATGGGCTTGAGAAAACAGGGGAATCAGAGGTAAGCAGGCAACCTTCAGAGGACTACTCTCACCAGGCTCTCCATCCACAGGGAAGGCAACAGAAACCAGGAGGCCAAAAGACACAGGGATGGGGCAGCCGGGCAGTCGAAGCTCTGTGCGGCCAGGCAGGGGCCGGCTCTCCACCTGGAGGTGCCGAGGAAGCCGGGTCAGAGAGTAATCTTTCTGCGAATCTCATATCCAAGCTTCCCACAGCCACTCACCCTCCAGCCCAGCCTTCCTGCAATCCATCTAAAAGCCATTTGGAGGGTTCAGAAGCCACCTTCCTCCCCTCACCCAATGTTTGTGCAGTCCCAGTGCTAGTAAGTATCACGGAGCACTCCAGACAGGGCCAGGCATTGTGCCGAGCACCTCCACGAATTCTCATTTAATTTTTACAACACCCCCATGATACAGGCATTCCTTCACCTCTAATTTACCGATGGAGGGGCTAAGGCTTAAAAGGGCTAGACTGCCTGCTAAAAGTCACCCAGCTATGAGAGGCGAGACTCAGATTTGAATCCAGACACTCTGGCCCCAGAGTCTGAGCTCTTAACCACTGGACTCCCTGCCTCAGATCTCTCCCAAACCTGCTTCTCCTGTGCCTCACCTCAATGTCCGAGATGGCTGATCTTAAAGCGCATGACCAGTTGACAAGCTGACGGTTCCGGTACAACAACCCCGCCTCGTAGAGTCGCACAAAAGCTTCGGTCACGGCCGCTGAGGAGCCCTAGAATGACCTGAGTGTCCACATCTAACAGATGCTTCTCAGCCACAGCCCCTATCAGGGACCCAAACATTCCCACCTCCCTGCCCCGACATACCAAACAACCCCCTGTCCGGCACAGACCTCCAAACACACCCTCCCCCCCAACACCCACAGGGCCCAAGGCACAGAATGCTCACAGCATCCATGGTGAAACACTCTCGGTCCCAGTCCAGGGAGGCGCCCAGAGCTCGCAGCTGCTCACAGATCTCTCCACCTTTCCTGCATCCAGAGAGATCGTTTTCAGCAAACACGTCCCAAGCACCTCCCATGTACCAGGCCCAGTAACGCCCCCAGCAATGCCAGGTGTTGGAGGAAAATGAAAAGTGAGTATGCCATCGATCTAGCCTCTAGAAGCTAATGGAGACAAACTCACAGACTCAGTAAGGGGCTTTCTGTGACATTAAAAGAGGTATAAAGTTCTACAGGAACAGAGGAAGAGCAGCTGAATTGTGAGAAATCCAAAGAAGTTTCACAGAAAAGATGGCATGTGATAACACCTGGAAGAATGAGGGTAATTTCATGGTAATTAGAAGTTGGGAATGGGCGAGTGGAGGAGAGGTGATAAAATATAGGCAAGTCAAAACAGGGTAAGTAGAGAGAAAAAATACACATGTATGTAATATACATACATACACACAAACACGTACACTTTAACGTACCTATAATGTACACACACACAGACACATAAAGCCTGGAAACTCCACCAAACACTAAGGGGCAAAAGGTTTTCATCTCTGAGAAACTGGGGGCATGCTGGGAAGAGCCAAAGATTACAAGTCAGGAGACAAAGTGGTAGGAAGCAAAGACCCAATCCCGCCGTCTGGGCCCCTCCAGCCGTGCCTGTCGCACTCACGCCTCCTTCCACTGCCACAGCTCCTTAAGGAAGTCTGCCCGGCTCAGCTCATGTCTCCTCATGCCCCGCTCCTTCCACAGCTGTTTCTCCACCACGGCCTGCAGTTGGAATGGGGGCAAATGAGCAGAGTCAGGATGCTGTGGGAGAAGTCACTTTCACCCAAGAAAAGGAAAATATAACGGAAGACATACTTGTGTGGCAATCCCTGCATGATCTGAGCCAGGGACCCACAGCACTTGATCCCCACGCATCCGGTGCCTGCAACAGAAATGCCCTCACATGAGCCCTCGGGCTTACATGTTTATCCTCACTCACTCCCGCCCTTTCTACTGGCCCTCCAAGAACTCAAACAAGCCCTATTCCTCTCTCACCAGCGCACAAGGGCATCCTGAATAGCCACTGTGAGTGCGTGGCCAATGTGCAGGGAGCCAGTGATGTTGGGAGGTGGGATACACATGGAAAAGGTCTCCCCTGTGGCCTGGGGCAGCCGGGCCTAGAAGGAAGGAGAAAACTCAAAGGGTAAGAGTGGACTGGATGTTACCTGAGGGAATAGCGCCCTCTGGTGTCTCCGAGGCAGAAAGAACCGCAGGGAACTGTCCTGCAAATAACAGGAAAGCCGAGGAGGGAAAGGAACCTGCCAGGGGAACCTGGCAAGAGAGACTTTTGGAGACTCGAAGTCCAGAAAGAAAACAAGTCTGTAATACAAGCTCAACTCGGAGGCATCAGTTGTGTTCAAGGACTACTCAGTCCTGGGGATCATTCAGCACCCCTCCCTGCCAGGCACTAACCTGATATTCTGGTTTGAAGAAGCCCTCTCGCACCCACCACTGGTACCAGGCAGCCTCAACATATCGGGGGCTGTAGGCAGGAGGCAGGCACCCAGAGACATCTGTGCAAGCAGAGAAGAGCTCCACTAACTACCAAGCCTTGTTCCCAGACTGTATTTTTGCAGACCAAATGGGCAACAAAAGTATGAGAGAAAAGGCCTTCAAGTGCCCTAGGTACCTTTCTTTTCACCGGGTTTCGTGGGGATTTCATACAGCACTACCTCCTTAGGACTCCAGGCCTTAGTGGACTCTGCAGGTGACTGGAAAGAGGGAGCAAAGGAAGTGGGATGCAATTCCCAGGATACCCCAGCCACTTGGATCCCAGCCCAAGTCTCCTCCACCCCCCTTCCAAGTCTCAGAGACCCAAGGACAAGCTGTCTGACCCCCAACCTTGCTCTTCCCAGCTATCCCAGCCTCCAGCGCCGCCTGCTTCTCCCGCAGGCGCTTCTGTTTGGCTTCACGATTCCTCCGAGAGATGGGAAATCCATGGGGCTCTGACTGTGTAGAAAGAGGATGGGACCTGGGGAGGCCCCGTGAGGGCCTCAGCCCCCAAAGTGGCGGTCGAAAAGATGCTAGAGGCAAATGAGCCATCAGGAGTGGTTGGAAAGGGGCCAAGATCTGCTCGGGATAGACAGAAAGCACATTAGAAGGATATGAGGCGGGGAGGGTCATACCTCCCAAAGCCACTCCCCTTATTCCTTACTTCCTGTCTCCGACTAGCACTGGTCTGTTACTCTAAGTATCTATCCCCTCCCACACCACCCTCCTCAAGGACTAGAGTACAAGGTGTCGACGGGGACAGCATCCGCTGGAGCAAGGTTGGAGTTTTTGGCTCGAAATCTATGCATCCACGACTTGGGGCAGGGGGGACGCTGACACAGGGAGAGGAAGAGGATCCGGAGATTCAGGGAGATGATGGACATCAGCACGCCTAGGACCCGGCAAGGTGTCCCACCAGGGTCACGGTCATCTCTGCCGGCCCGCGGGCCGCCCGCAGAGCCCACAGCCCCGCGCAGCCCGACCTTTCCGCCCATCCCACCACATGGACAAAGGCCCCGCAGCACCTCCCACCTCCAGGAGGCCTCCCCGGCGCGCGCTCACCCAGCAACCCCGCCGCTATCCCAGGGCGCCCCGCGCCGGCAGGGGCTGGGGCCACTAGCGCACCCGAACTGGAAGCGTGGCCCGCCACTCTCGCGGCGCCTGGGGGCGGGGCCCCGCCCTGCGCATGCGCGGCGGCTGGCCTAGGCCCCGCCCCCCTGCCCAATGGCCGCCGACGGGGAGAGGGGACGCCTGCTGGGAGCGTGCAGGCCGCGTAGCTCACTTCCACAACTTTATTAGACAAGCAAAGTCCCGACGTGTAAATAAAAAACACCTGAGTTCTGAGGCCGCGACCGCTTTGCGGCCGGCTCAGCCAGCCCGCCCCGCCCGGGCCCGCCCGCCCAGGTCCGGGTCTGGGTCCTGCACTCTCAGGAGCTGTGTTTTTGCCGCTTCCAGAAGCGCTTGACGTCGCTGTGCCCAGCCGGGGTCACCACCATGAGCCGTTTGGCCGAGTTCTCGAACACGAGCACGCCCAGCTCCCGCGCGTGGGCCAGCAGCAGCTCAAAGTCCACTTGGGACAGGAACTGGTTGTACAGGACGCCTGGGGTAGGCAGCGCGGAGAGAGATGGTGAGAATGTGAGGCTCGGAGCGACAGCAGTCCCTGCCTCTCTGCCTCTTCGTGACAGCAGCAGGAGTGTCAGGAGGTGGTCTGGGCTTGCCCCCACCGCAGTTTTTAAAACTAATTCTCTACGCTTGTCTGCCGAGGTGCTCATCTTAACAAGAGTGTGATCCAGCCATATTCAGAAAGGCAATGTAATATAGTAAGAAAACCCATTAATGTTCACCAAAACCAGAGAAATTACTGTGAATTATTCTCTCTCCTAGCTAAATCCAAATTGCACTGATTTGGGACATTTGCTACCGATTCACCCCAAAATAAAGTGTCTTGCCAGCTTTTCTCTCCCTGTCCACGCAGTAAGCGAAAGATAAAATGCATGAAAAGCTTTCTCAGCCCGTCAAGAGTGAATTGTCTGCTCTCCCCTCCCCCTTCGTCTCCCTTTCTGCCTCTTCCCCATATTAAAAAAGAAGACTGAATTGTCTACCAATGACCAAGACTCAGCCACCAGAACCCACTCACCCTCGGTGAACCGAAGTCTATCCCTTTCCAGCTCCCACAGCCGAATCTGGTCTGTGATGGTGGGAGGCAGCACAGGTGTCTGCAGGGCAAGGGCTGGCTTCAGGGACTTGGGCATGATGCCGCAGACAACCCGGCCCTCCACTCGTTCCCGATTTGGATGTCCCCTTTTTTTTCCCATCATCTCAAAACTAGATGCCAGGGGCTGCCAGCCTCTGACATCTTGTTACCTGTCTGTACCTGTTTGAGCATCACTGGGTGGGCCCTTGTCCTTAGGAAATGGATTATCTAGGAAAACACAAGAATAGCATGAGGGCTGGAGCAAGAATGCAGGAAAGTCATCTGTCACCTGATGTCACTGGAACATCAACTTACATGTTTAAAAACTCACAGCCCCTGTCATCAACTCAACCCATCCCTGTTCAGCTGTTATCCCAAGTTGCTGCACCCACTGGTCATGTCTGCTGTTCCTTCTCTAGCACATTTGCCCTTTCCACTCTTGTTTTGTTTTTCTTTCTTTAAAATAGCAGCAGCTACTATTTTTTGAGCACTTACTGCATGGCAGGCTCTGAGCTAAATGCTTTACTTCTAGTCTTCCATTGAATTCTCCCAATAACCCTGTGAGGTTACCAGATGAGGAAACTGAGGCTCACAGAGGTGAAGCCGCTAACTAGGCCCAGTTTACACAGCTAGGAAGTAGTGGTGCCGAGACAAATTCAGAGCTATACCTCCTCCCTCCATGCTTTTTTCCCCTCAAGCATCTGCCTATCGCCACATCTGAAGCCTTGATTTCTCATTTGCCTGGTGCTCAAACACAGATGACTCACCCCCACCTACTGTAACAGACCCAGTGCTAGCCTTCCCTAATGTGACCACCCTGTACTCCACAGTCCAAGTGCAGCCCAACATCCCGCCACACCTCCCCCAAGGGGGGATACCTGTTGGGCTGTGATGCCACTGGCAATGGCCTGCTGCACACTCTCTCGGGTCACCTGCGCTACCACCATGTTGGGGAAGCGATAGAGCATCTCAGAGAAGAGGGCAATGAGGGCAATCTGCAGCTCCGACTCTGAGCCCAGGACAGGAGGAGAGAATGAGGAGGCTACCCCATACCCAGATACCCTCAAGCCCTTCCTGTGCGGTGAGAAACATCAGGGAGTTCTGCACACTGCCAGATAAACATGAACTGGCATTCCCTCCTGCTTCCTTCCCCCTCCCCACTCTCACCCGCAACTTCCTCTCCCAAGAGACCTCTGTCCAGCCTTACCCGTGTAGGCATACAGTCGGTAATTGGTTTCCACAACAATGAAGCCTGGCTGATGCACAGTGCCCCCAGCTCCAGAGACACCTGATGAGAGATTGATGGCCAGTCGCGTGGGGTAGTAACGCCGAGACTTCCTCTGGGAAGGACAGAAGGGAAAGGCAAATGGCCTCTGTAAGGGATCACTGTGCACATCTTCCTGCCCGAGACATCAGATCCCTCCCAGGACACAGACCCTCAACCCTCAACTTCTCTCCCTGTAGGGACCCAAGTATTCAGTCCTGGTAACTGCTTCCTGCTACTGCCCCAAGACCCCACCCCTTTTTAAAGGCCAAGGCAACACACCTTGGGTCTTCTTCCCTAGGAGCCTCTACTCCCTAGAAATATCTAGGTGCTCATACCTTCCTCTGGAAAACAAGACCAAACTCACGCAGATGTTGCAGGAAGTTCAGCAGAGAATCACTCATACCTTCCACAGAGTAGTCCTAGGGAAGAGAGGTGGCTAGCTAGGGTCCAAAACACATCCCAGCCTCCCTCCCCTAACCCCATACACTCATTCCCTCTTTCCCCATCACTGCTCATTCTATGTTCATTCTTCTCACCCTATTGCCTCCCCAACCTGCTCTCTCCTTCCACCTCCCTACCCTCCAGCCCCCACTTACCTTGCCCAGAGTAGAGAAGCTGAGCTGGAAGAGGAAGGAGAGAATCTCCACTAGGTCCATGCCCCGACTCTAGAGTGAATGGGGCAGACAAAGGAGGAGAGATGGGAGGGAGAAAATGGGAGGAGAGAGCCAGGAAAGAGAAAATCAGGGAACAGAGTTCTGTAGGCAGTAGTCTTTCAGTGCTACCTGAGCGGAGTAGAGCATGCTAGCAAGTGGCCCCTGGGCTCCTCACCTGGGCAGTCTGCAGATACTGCAACATAAAGTACCAGAGCTGGGCCGGGGTGTCCAGCAACAGGAACTGGAAGCCAGCAGAAGTAATGCAGGGCGGCTCTCCAGGTTCAGTACTAGAGACAGAGAGGGATAACGATGGAGCTATGCAGAGAAAGGCGACTATCCCTGTCCTCTCACACTCTTTCTTGCTATCTCTGGCTATACTCTACTCAGTTCACTCTTGCCAGTCAACTCCCTCTGATCCTGATTTGCCCCAGATACTGTTCCTCAGGGACCCAAGGAGATGGCACAGCAGGAAGCTGTTGGACCTCTGGCTTCCTCACCTCTTCATGAGCCCAGCCTGGCTGAGGAGCTGAGCCAAGTCCTGGCTGACAGCTGCACTGGGGGAGCCCACCATGAAGTGTAAGACCACCTGAGGAACAGAAGAGAACAGGAGACCATGTCTCTAATGGTCATGGGAGGTAGGAGCACAAGAAGAGACACACACAGAGTTCCAAGTCCTCACCTCCCATCGCTCCTCAGCGTACTTGTCAAGTGAGGGAACATCCCGGGCGTGCTTGTCTGGTCCCAGCTGACTTGTGTCATCAGACCAGGCCTTCCCCCTATGGCCAGGATGGGCCAAGAGTAAGGAACCCTGTCTGTGTTCCTTGCTGCCCTCTTTCTACCCTATCCCCAGGTCCATGAGTGGGGGATATTTCCTGCACCATGCAGCTACAGCTGGCCCAACTTATTCCTTATGGAGCCCACAAGGTTCCAAGGAAGCCCCTTAGGAGTTCCAGCAGTTTAATCACCAGTTTAATTACCAGTTCCCCTGGCCTTGCTTAGGAAGAGATGGAAGTGACATACCCACCCAGAAGGGCAATGCGGAGGTTCTGGCGAAAGATGGGGTTGAGGATGAGGCCTTGGAGCCCGCCTGGGAGCAGCTGGGTGTGCCAGATACGGAGGCCACTCAGCAGCCCTGTACTTTCCTCCTGAGCCCTGGAACAAACCAGAGAGGTGAGCAAGACGTCTGGAGAACAGAAAAAAGGAGGCCCATAACGATGTCCATTTCTGCCTTTTCTGAACTGGTGGCCCCTGGAACACTGTTCCACGGAGTGAAATCAGTGTCTTCTTAAGACAAATGTCATTACCGCACCACCCATCAGAGCTTTGTTATAGACGTCATAACTCTCTAAGAGGGAAAATACAGCATGCAGAGTTTCCCAAACATATTTAATTTGTGGTGTACCTACTGAACCTGGAAGTGTTCAAGGAACAGCAGTTTGGGAAACCTAGCCATTGGGAAATGTATATCTGGCTGAGAATGCAGTAGAGACTCACTTGCTGAATTCCTTCTTTACCCACAGGGCTACAGCAGCTTGTGGCAATGGCTGCTCCAGAAAGAGCATCCGCATCACCCAGTTCTTAGCCAATGATGGCAGCTCCCTGTAGGGGAGTAGAGGTCAAATGTTAATATCAAAAGCTGTCTTATATCTGCATCTCTGCCCTCAACTGCCTGTCAAACATCTCATCTCACCCAACCACACCTTTATCAGTCCTGCAGTCCCCACAAACTCCATCTGTTTTGGTCTGCCACACTTTGGAGTAATCTTCAACCCCACCCCCCAGGCTGCTATGCTTTCTACCATAACTTATTGCAGTCTGCAAGCCCCATTACATTTCCCCACCATGGTCCCTACTGCGAAGGAGGCTCCTTACCTGAAGACAGCCAGACAAGTGGCAGGGTGCCCATACAATCGGTCCAATACCCCAGGGCTCAGGCCCCCTAAGAATTCCTGCAGATTCCTGCATTGTAGGTGTACTCGGTTCAATCCACCCCTTGAAGGGGTGCTCTCCATCACCTGAGAGAGGCACATGTTAGAAATGCACCCTCATGATCCATGCCAGTGTCACCCCTGGCCTTTCACATTGTGATTCCAGATCCATGAGCCCTCACAATAACTGCATCTTTTTCTGTGGTTTTCTTCCCCGTGTCCTCTGATTTCTCCCAAACCTAACCAATCTCCCCCCATTTCCTGCCTCCTCACCCCACTTCTGCTCTCAACTCCTAGTCTTCTCTCAATTTCCAAGTGATGGAATTATTAATTGTCATATATTTGCAAAATCATTTTGTATTTCAATGACTTGTCTCATCTTTAGCTAAGCAATGACAGAGAAACTTGTTTGAGACCAGTCCTCTCTCTTCCACCCATTCTGGTCAGATCAGTCCATAAACTCCAAATCTGTCAGTCTTTCCCTTCTTATATATCTTAGCCCACTTCTGCTAGGCACGGCGATAACCTCTCCCCTCTTTCCCCTTCACCCTAAGTCTACTTCACCCCATTCACCCTGACCCACAACGTCCGATCTCCTAACTTCTCCCCTACTTTCCTCCCACACCTCGCGGCTCACTCAACTCTCTCACACACACCTCCTCCACCCCTGCCCTCCTGGGTTCCCTCACCACTCTGTGTCAATCCTCCTCGCACACCCCGAGTCTCGAGCTGTCGCTTAATCAGAACCAATATCTCGTATTGGCTCTCCAGAGATAAGGGGAAAGATGGTGAAAAAAATGTGAAAAAAAGATGGGGAAAGTGTCCAAGGAATTTCACAGACAAGAGCCCAGAGTAGACAATTCAGAGAAGCCAGGGAAGGGAAGGAGAGGAGAAGTGAGGAGGAAAAGAATAGGCGCTGCACTTGCCCACTGCGGGGCATACTGGGAATTAGAGTCTTGTTCATGCTCGTCTCGGAGAGGGCTGAGGGCGAATGACTACAAATCCCGAAAGGCACCGCGGGAAGCCGCGGAGCGAGAAGCTGGCTTTTAATTGAAAGCGCCCGGAACACCAGAAGCCGGGCCAGTTCGTTCCGTGGCGCTGTCCACCCATGCTACTAACGGTGCGTCTAACCGGCCTAAGCGGAGGCGGGACCCCCGAGAGTAGAAGTACCTGGAGGCCTTCCTGGCGGAGGCGCGCAGAGGCGGCCCGGTGAGGCGGTTAGCCTCAGAGTCCACAAAACTGGGTTCCTTGAGCTCAGTTGCTCTCCATAAAATGGGGATAATGCACTCCAGGTCGTTTTTGCGAATTAACGATCCAGTGTGCCCTACTTGGCTGGTAAGTATCTTAATTTCTGCCTTAAATAAATCTTAATTTCTGCCTCCACCATGCTTCCAACCCCCATTTAGTTAGAAGACCCTAATAAAAACAGTTTTTAAAAGAAACCAATTGTTTGCGCTGATTCAATTTATGAGCCTACCTCAGAGAAATGCAAGGGAAATTTTTTTTTTTTTTTTTTTTGAGACAGTCTCACTCTTGCCTGGGCTAGAGTGAGTACAATGGCGTCAGCCTAGTTCACAGCAACTTCAAACTCCTGGGCTCAAGCCATCCTCCTGCCTCAGCCTCCCAAGTAGCTGGGACTACAGGCTCGAGCCACCATGCCCAACTAATTTTTTGTTTCTATTTTTAGTAGAGACGGGTCTCGCTCTTGCTCAGACTGGTCTCAAAGTCCTGAGCTCAAGGGGTCCTCCTGCCTGTCTCGGCCTCCCAGAGTGCTAGGATTACAGGTGTGAACCACCGTGCCAGGCCCAGAGGAAGTCTTTAACCAACGCCAGAACTACATGTTTCTCCAAATCCCTATATGCAGATTTTGTTATTCCCACTTTGCAGACTAGAAGACCAGAGCCTGGAGAGATTAAAAAATTTGTCTATGATCAGACAGCTGGAAAGGGCCCAAGTCAGGATTTGAAACACATTTGCAAGAGGCCAGGGACCAAATGGCTATAAAGCTGTGCTGTCCAGTATGGTAGCAGCTAGCCACCTGTGGCTATTTAAATTTAAATTAACTAAAATAAAATTTAAATTTCAGTTTCTCAGTTGCACTAGCCCTATTTCAAGTGCTCAATGGCTACAGATGGCTAGTGGGTACCTGCCGGGCACCGTAGATATAGACCGTTTCCATCATTGCAGAGTTCTCTTGGAGACCCGTCCCTAAATGCGGTGGATGAGGGCAGGATGTCCGATGGCAGGAACTGGGCACAGGCTGAGTTCCCGGAACTGGCGTAAGGAAGAAAATCAGCCTGATGAGCCAGCTGGGCCTAAGAAGGGGGCCTAGGAGCGGAAGCTATGGCAAGAGTTCTTTTCACAACCCTTTCAAACACAGGCCCATACTTGAAAATTCCTGTGATAGAAAGCTGACGACCCTTCCCCTCAGGCAGCATCTTAGAGAAGAGAACAGGGAGCCAGGAGCCAACAGGCCCACTTCCCGCCGGCTTCACAGTTTACTGACTGTGTGAAGTCAGTGCCAGTTGGGCACGTTGCCTAACCTAACAGAGAAGTTTGCTTCTCTGTGAAATGGCAATAATTCTAACTGTTTCATATATTGTGTTGTATTAAGATATAATATGTAATAAGTATAATATCTGGCATATAGTGGGTGCTCAGTAAAATATTGTCTATAAGTTCCACTTATCAATACTAGTTCTCTAACTACACAGAATCTATTTTGTTAGCCCTTCAGGTATTTGATACAGATCGTTTTTTCAATCAATATTTATTGAGCCCTGTGTTCCAGGAATTTGCTCCTGTGCAGCTTATGGTCTAGTGGGAGAGCCAGGTATTTAAAAAATGCATGCACAAGTACTTGTAAAATTGCACCTGTACTAAGTGCTGCAAAAAAGAGATTTGTGTGCACTGAGACATCAACAGGGGGTTTGACCTGGCTGGGGAAGTCAGGGAAGATAGCTGAAGGGCAAGCAGGAGTTAACAAGGCCGAGACTTCAGGGAACATTGTTCCAGGTCGGGGAACAGCATGCTACAGAGACCATGCAGTTGGAAGGACTGTGGCCCATTGGGGCAAAGTGAAAGAAGGCCAGTGGTGCACAGCGGAGAGGGACAGGGAGGATTGCTGGAGCTCCCAGCACATGGGAGCCAACATAGACCAGGAAGATTTTGTTCTTTAATATCAATGAGAAGCCACTAAAGGGTTTGAAATAAAGGGTTGGAGTCGGATTTATGCAGGGAGCATGAGCAGATATGGGTGACCAGCTAGACCACTGCAGCAGTCTAGGCAAGAGGGAGGCAGCATGTGCCAGGAGGGCAACGGAGACAGAGATGATGAGCCCCATGGAGATTTGGGAGGCAAATCAGCAGAGCTTTGTGTTGGACTGCTTGGGCAGTGAGGGTAAGGGAGAAGGGGTGTCAGGGATGACACCTTGGGGCTGGGTGAGGTGGCTCACGCCTGTAATCCTAGCACTCTGGGAGGCCGAGGTGGGAGGATTGCTTGAGCTCAGGAGTTGGAGAACAGCCTGAGCAAGAGCAAGACCCCATCTCTACTAAAAATAGAAAGAAATTAGCCCGGCATGGTGGCACTCGCCTGTAGTTCCAACTCCTTGGAAGGCTGAGGCAGAAGGATGGTTTGAGCCGAGGAGTTTGAGGTTGCAGCGAGCTAGGCTGATGCTATGGGCAACAGAGTGAGACTCTGTCTCAAAAAAAAAAAAAAAAAAATGGATGACACCTTGGGCAGCTTGTGCAGCAAAGTAGGTGATGCTGCCACTCACCAAGTCAGGAGACCGTGAAGGAGGAGCAGGTTTGGACATGCTGAGACTGACATTTAAATGAACTCCAGGTGGTTATATAGGTCTAGGGCTCAAAGAGAAAGTTCTGGGCTCGGGGATTTGGGCATCACTGGGCTCACTATTCTGGGTTCTGGCCTCCAAACACTAACCTATGAGTGCCTGACCTAAATCGTAGTACACAGTGGTCTGGCCTGCGTAGGTTTTAGCAGGACTATTAGGTCTGTGACCTGGGCCCCGAGGGCCTATTAATTCAGCCTCAGATTAAATTGTCTGTGTTGTTATTCTCATTATCCAGTTGCCTCACTTTGTAAATATCATCAACTAAAACCCCAGGGTCTTTATTTCACATGAACTGCCTTTAAGACAGGCCTGCCTTATCCAGTACTTGCAACCGATTTTTTTCCCTTTCCAACCAAATTTGAACTCTTTGCTAAATGCTCTCTTGGCGGCTGTGGCTCATCCTTCCAAGCCTCTGAGATAATTTAGGTTCTTGGTTCTGGCTCCCGTCCCAGCAGCTCACACCCCTCGGGTCATTTGCACACTCGACCAGCCTAATCCAGGGATTCTCCACCTGGGACTCCCAGACCTCAGCGGGTCCTAGAATTGGGGCAAGAAAAAGAAATTACACCTTTACTTTTACTAACCTCTAACTGAAAATGACTATTTCCTTCAATTATGAATATGGGCCAAACCCCCAAGTATTAATAGTATTAGCAGTACCTGTGACTTATCACTAATAGACAGCTATGTTCATATCCCACTACAGCTGTAAAAATCTCAAAATATTGTTTATTCTCATTGCTATTTGGAAAATATAAGTAGTTATGACACTTGCTGCTAGATCTTATTAAATATATTAAAAAGCACATATATTAATGTATCATAATTTCTTAACATTTTGGTAAACTGTTTCAATTGGTTTCCTTGGGAATCCTACACATCTTATTTTATAGGTTTTAAAACAATTCTGAGAAGGAATCAGACCTCTCCAGGCTGCCAAAGGGACCCAGGGCACAAAACAAGGCTCAGAAGCGCCGACCTGACTGAACCCCCGGCCTCCTGCAGGCAAGGGGCTGGGTCATGTAGAAACAGAACTCGCTGCTGGGCACGATACGTGGTGGGAAATGGAATGGGGAGAGGAAGGAAAAAGAGAAGGAAGACAGGAAATGGGCCGAGAGTGACGGAAGGAGGAAGATTTTATCAAAAACCCCAGAAAACACACAGCTGTGGAAAACTCAACCTTTATTATTACCTGCCTAGTGCAGGGGATTAAAATTGCCTCAAGCTAGGTCCATATATTAGTGTAAA